TGAGAGTCCCAAGAACTGGGGGGGCAGGGAGTGTCCTGAAAGTTAAGTCTCTAAAGGAATATGGGAGAAGCTAGCAGATGTGCAATGTGACATCCTTGTCCGGAAGTGTACAGCCTAAAGCAGTTTCTGAACCCATTCGATGTAGTTTGCCAAAAATTATCAGTTGACACACAACTAAGCCACAGCAGCAGGAAAGAGCTGCAGTTGATAAAGTCACAGATGGGGAGGGGACCCCAAACACAAGGCCTTTGATCATTTATGCCTCCAAGGCCATGAGACAAAATAAGCTCATGATCTGCGATAAACATCACACCATGGAGCAGGATGCTGGTACCCAAGCTGCAAACATCCTCACAGTGTGAGATATTTGGAACCTGCAGGTTATACATATGCCCACTGCATGACTCAGAAAATAAGCCTTGTATATATTAAATTCCCATCTTTAGAACGAAAGTAAGGGATAAGGAAAGCCTTTTGGTCACCCCATTCTTCAGTACAGGGAAAACAGACCATCCACCCCAGAGATTCAGTTTGGAAGTATATAACCAGTAATCAGAGATCCTGGAAAAGCTGTGTTTTTGTATACTAGATGATGGAGAGACTTTTCACTCCACAGGCCTGGTGTGGGGAAAAAACCCAACACATCTGCAGCCAAGGGATTGTACTCTGAACTCATAATCTGTGACCATTGCCGTTAGGAGAATCACATCATCTCAAGCTTCCACAGGAGGACAACCTTGGGTTATGCACATCTCTGTGTGGGACTAACTCATATTCTCACTTATGAACAGGTGGTATGAGAACTGTGCATTTTGGATATCTTTCCAATAACAGGCAAGATAAGGTTTTCTCTCTATTTGAAGTACTGCTTTATACACAAATATTTGCTCAGTCTAGACGTCTGAAACATGTAGATGTACATATGTGTTTCTTGAGAAACCTTAAAATTCTGTCATGGGCACTTCTTCCCCAACAAATGCAGATCAAAATTTTGTTCTGTTAAAGAAAGAATAACATCTTCCACTAACAGTATTGGTTGCCTTTTACTTTATGGAAGGCCTGCTTTCAATTAACCCCATGGGAACACCATATACACAATGGGAAATAGCATACACTACTGGTTTATGAAAAACCCATTTCTGTAATAACCTAGGAGTTCAGAAAATTGCAGGGAAGGAGAGAGAGAGAACTGAGAGTGAATATTTCTGTGTAGACATTTGGTTTGTTAGTTATTCCCAGATTCAATAGTTATGGAAGGAACATAGAACCCTAAAAAAAGAAAGAAAGAAAAATTGTCAACACCCAAATCTTATATGTTGAAAGTAAAAGTTATGAGAAAACACATGACATGCCTCTCTGAATAATGAACTCCAGTTGTGATCTATGTTGAATACGAAGTGATAACATTTCTATAGGCATAATAGTCAAGTTGTTGGTGTATCACGGTGTACCCATATATAAGCCTCAGATCTTGATCTTTACCCACTGTAAGAAGGAAAATTGTTTCATCTTCTCCTCAGTAATTAAAGGTACCAACATGCCAAGCAATTTTGCTACCTCTGCATTATGCAGTACGATCAAAATATGTTCAATGAGATTAGTGATATCCTTAAGCAATAAATATTCTTACTGATACTTATCCCTCTATTTTTTCCACCTCCCCCTCTACCTTTCTGTTTTCCTGATGTTAAAAAGTGTTATATTTCTCATAATTATTGAAATGGTCCCTAACATCCTCTCCAGTTGCATGAAACAGTATCTCGTATATACAGCCCTACTTATCCATGCTGCTCATGTGGAAGAGGAAAGAAATGCAGGCGCTCTCTCTTCTTCATCCACCTCCTCCGTGTACCCCTCCTCTTCCTTTGATCTCATGGGTGTGGCACGGATCAAACCTCTCTTTCTCTCAAGCACTAGTATACGGAATCAAGGAACTACAGAAGAAGACAAGGATCATCTCACCTACAAGTGGGAAATGTTGATTTCCATTTCATCACTCAGTCAGTTCTTTATTGAGCATTCACCCCATACTACTAGTCTGCTCCAATACACAGCACAATACAGGAAACGCATAGCTGTTGCTTCAACATAAAATATAGCTAGTCTAGAGCATGTTTTCCAAGTACTGAGTATAGTATAAAGTTTAGGATTCTTTTTCAACATCTTCATGCATTTAACCTCTTTTTTTTCCTTTTGGGAATCTGGGTTTGTGTTTTTAAAGACATCATACTTATAGCTATGGGCTATGAAAGGTCTGAAAGGTCAGCAAAGTATAATGTTTTGTTCTGTGCATTCTGATTAAAGACACAAACTCCAGATAACAATTTCCAAAAGATAACAGGATAAACAATCCATGGGTTTAAAATGATTTTATTTTATATTATTCTGCATCTATCCTTCTAAGATACCCCATATAAGATAACATGAACATGTTCAAAAACACATGACCAATACAGATGCATGCAAAGACACATATATATGTACTTAAGATTCCTCCTGCTCACACTATTTATCTTTCTGCTGAAATTCAAACATACTTTACATGGAAGAATTCCCCACGCAGGAAGGAAACCTCCTTATAATTTGGAAACACCCACTTCAGATCATAGTCATTTGTTAGCATTGTTCCTATTTGGTTTTCATTTTCTGAATGATAACACGTTTGGAAGGGAAAGAAGCAAGCACGGGAGGAGGTGGAGTTCCTTTTTACAATTATGAGTTTTACAGAATAAGTTCCAACTTTTCACGCCACACCATATTTTATGAATGTGATCTGCTAGTGGATGGAAGAGAGAGTGCATGAGAGAGGCTGCAGCACTGCTGTAAGAGTATGAAGGGGGATGCATATATGTGGGTGTGTCCAGCTAGAGGTGTGTGGGAGAAATAGACAGAGTGCACCTGTGTGCACCACTATGCAGTTATGTTGTGTCTATGTGTATTTAAATGCACATGCATTAGGCTTTTTTTTTCTTTGTGTCTGCAAAGGAATGTGCATTGAATTGTACACTAAGTATATTGAGATGGGTGAGATTGCTGATACTGTATCTGCTTGCATGTATGGCAGTGCACTCTGTGGGGGGGGGATGTAAAGGGGTGTGGCTGGTGAGTATGCCAGCAACTGGAATTTTATATACAGTAGCTGATTTGCCACAGATCAGTTAACACAGGTATAAAATCTAGGAAAAGTGTTTTCTAGAAGTCGAAAATCGTAAAGTGTGTGGTGCACAGAGTGTTTGCCATGTGTTCTACACCTCATCTTCGAAAAGATGGGAACATGGCTTCCAAAGCCTATCACTCACAAAAACCTTCAAAGGCTTTTACATCATAAGAAAATATGCTCAGACTCTCCACATGCTACTATGCCTTTCTGTCTGCCTTCCTCCTCTTCCTCCTCCTACTCCTCCTCTCTTAATGTGATATACAGACACTGAATATGTGCTATTGGCTGACAGCAACATGTTCTGTGCATGCTCTGCTTCAGGTTTTATTGAATGTACCACAAACGGGAGAATGTCTGAAATACGGATGGGGAATTGATGTTCATGAAAATGGGGTTTCCCATTTACCAGCCCCACCCTAGTGATCCTCTGGATCACCTTCCCAACACATACGTTGGCTCAGCAAGACATTTACTTCTGAAGTAATTATTCCAGTGACCATGGCTTCCAGCAGGTTGCTTTTTCTCTCCTTTCCCCAAAATACTGCATTATGGTATGCTATATCTGGTATACCAGAAAGCAGCAGACACCGGTGCTACAAAAAATTCTGTTGAAATTGCCCTTTCAGAAAAGGTCTTTCACCTATGCATTACACAAAAGCCTTTCACAGACATCAAAGGCCAAAATCCTCTTCCAGTGTCAAGAAACCAGAAGCTACTCCACATACAATAAGGTAAATCCATGTCTCTTTTTACAAAGGAAGATTTGGAACAGAATGACCAGTCTCAAAAGAAGGAGTTTAACGTAAAAGGTGTGTGGGAGGGGGTGAGAAGCAGGAGTCTATCTGAGGACATCCCCACCCCCATACAAAATTTCTATCCTGACTTGTCCCTTTTTATAAAAAAAATATGCTGAGAGTAAGATGCCTCCTCAACCTTATGAGACCCCCTCTCCCTCATTTAAATCAAACATATGGGGCCAACAGGAAATTAGCTGGTTTCCACCAAGTTCCTCCTGCTCTGTGTTTGCCATCCCATCGGAGCTCAGAGCTGACAGAGGCGTGGTCCTCAGACTCTGTACCAGCTGGTCCACAGTCCTCCAAGCCTTCCAGCTGCGAAAGGGACTGCAGAAGGGGGAACCCCAACCTGTCTCTCCCCCCCACAAGCGTACCCAAACCTCTACTAGAAGCTAATTTATGTACCATTTCATAAAACGTCTCTGTCAAAGAAAATAAAGAATAGATCTCTCCGCTTTCAAATGGCTCTAAATGAGGGGAAAATCAACCCATCTTTCAAGCTTTGTAAATCTCTACCAAAGTGAATAATCACAAACAGAAGGCATCCTTATAGCTATCGATCAGAATTCACTTGGGGTCTTGGTGGGGTTATGAAGGGAATTGCCCCCACCCTTCTCAAAGGCAGAACCGGTTCTCTCGCCCTCCTCCATGTCATATCCACACCCTCAAAATCCAGGAGACAATCCTGTGCAACACAGCTTCTTCACACAGCATCCCCCCCTCCAACAAGGTGTGCATCTAAGGAGGAGGGGGGGTCTCCCCTTGTCTCCCACTAATTCCGATCACCAGCCAGCTTCCCCACACCCACCCGCCGACTCCACAGGCAGCGCCCCCCCCTCAACACACACTCACACACACACCCCATTGCATTCATGGAAGGAGCGAGTGAGCTGAGCTTTCCATGAGAAGGAGAAGATGCTAAAAAGAATCGCGAAAGAGACCGCAGTTGGGTTTGGGGGGGGAACCCCCAAATCTTCTTTCCTCTTCTGCCCACAGATATACAGCTCTAAAATACGCAGAAAGAAGTATAAAATCTCCAGCTCTACCTGTTTTGTTCTTCTCATACAGCACAGCATGATTGTATTGTCCCCTTTCTTCCTTGTTGTTCCTTCCTTCCTTCCTCCTCTCTCCTTTTTCCTCCTCTCTCCCTCTCTCTCTCTTATCTCTCCCCCCACCCTCTCCACTCTTCCCCTCCCTCCTTCTCTCTCTCTCTCTCTCTCTCCCTCCTTCTCGCACACACACCAGGGCAGTTAGCAGCAACTGTAAGGTCCACAGTTATTGCTCATCTCACATGGCCAAAGAAAGAGACCAAGAGCGAGGCAGGCCGAAGGACAGGAGACACCATCACCACCACCACCACCATCAAGGAAGCCGCCACCCCCTCGCAGGCCGTTGCCAGCCTCATGAATATTTAAACCTATCCAATCTGGACCCAATTACGCGGCGACTTTCCCACTATACAGAAAATTGCTGGGAGGAAGCGGCCGCGGGTGGGGTGGGGTGGGGGTGGGAGGGAGAGAAGCGGCCGGCGGTGGGGCCAGGAGAGGATTAGTCGGAGGGGTGTGGCAAGGTAGGGTTGCGAGACAACAGCCGTATTTCTGAGGGACTCCTTCTAGAGAGAGAGAAAAAAGACATAGGAAAGGTGAAGAATCCATTCCCACCACGCAAACAGGACGCACTACCGTACATCAGCAGAGATTTTAAGGCGGTTTCGAAGGCAGAGGGTGTATTACAAACATAGCGCAGAAGGGAAAAAATTAAATCTTATGATAAGCGGTACGCACAGAGAGAGAAAGAGAAATTTCCTGAGAAGCCCTATAAATCTCTCTCAGCATGCTGGCGAAAGGAAGAAAAGGAAAAGGGGAAATTGCAAAATATTCCTTTCCGGCACTTTAAAAGCTGACAGATTGATTTCAGTGTGAGGTTTTGTGGATCGCACTCTACTTCGTCAGACACAGGGCGTGCAAATACGTGTCCCCTATTCCTTATGCCGTGATGATGAGATAGATACACGTCCAGCTAAGGATACAGATAAACAAAAAACGAGAATGATTAGTTAACACAGGAGTGGAACTGTCCAACTGTTCAGAAAGAGAGGGAAGACAGACAGAAGTCTGATTTTCTTCTGAAATGTGGATATGAAAAAATAAAAGCAAATTTCTGCACAAAGGTATTTCTCTATTTGTTTAAACAAAAGGACACTGATATCCTGCTGAAAGGATACAATCCTGGCTACACATTCACCTGAGAATATGTCCTGTGTAATGCAAAAGGATGGATTTTGGAGCAGATGTGGACTATAATGCTATAATAATGCACACGTTGCTCTGGGATTCAGGCCCATCAAACATAAGCCATATAGCTCAACTCAATGCAAGCATAAATTTACTGCTCTCCCACCAAATCATAGTCTTCTGCTCAAAGACTGACAGCCCACCACAAGTCTTGGCAATGAACTCCATTTTCAAATTGTTCATACTATTAAGATGTTTCTTCTAATATTCCACCAAAATCTACCTTCTTCCAACTGAAGCCTGATAGAGCCAGACTTGTATTCTAGGGCAGCAGAGAACAACATCTTTGCCCTTTCTTCTTATAACTGGTTTTCCATAAATCTGGCCATCTTGATTGTTTCTGACCATCAATGAAATGTTAAGGGAAAGGCAACAGCGATGGTCTTGGGCAACAGGAGTTGTCTCTCTACCTGTATTTCTTCTAATTTGTCTGTGTCTCTAAAATGTGGCACCCAGATCTGGGCACAGTATTCCATATGACTCCTGAATAGAGAGGGGCACAAACCAGCAGTTCAGTGGTATGTTGAGGTTCATTTACCAGCTGAATAGCTGATGCGTGGTTTCTCACCGTGCCCCCTCTGGTGGGCGCCCACTTCAAGGCAAGGGCAGTCACTGAGTGGACAGGAGACTCTGGAGGAGGTGAGACTCTGGATCAGCTGCTCAGACACTAAACAAACTACACCAAACCGCTGATTTGTGCCCATTTCTACTCCTGACTTACACAGGCTAAAGTGGAACTATTCTACTTTAGAAGCCATGGCACTATCAATGCAGTCAAAAACTTATGTTAGCTTCCCTCTCCCCCCATCACATCATCCTTTTAGTTCACCTAGTGATCAACACCAATGCAGTGTACTACTGCCAAGGCACATATTTGCATTGCATAGGATAATTCTGTAACCTTTTAAACTACTAGGGATCCAAAAATAGTGACCAGAATAAGTATCCATGAAAATATTTATGTATTCATCATGAATACATTATCTTAAACAGTTGCAGAGAAAAAAAATCAAAGCACATAATTACGTTATGTGTGCTTTGGAAGAGTGACTAACTCTGAAAATGCAGAAATTTATGGACCTGAGCCAAGAAATTCATGAATCTGAGCTATCTCAGAGTTACTGAAATGAAAGTTCAAATCCAGTCAATCTCTCTCCTCTCACAGATATATTTCTCAACTTCCCTTGCCAAAAAATCAATCTGCATCTGTCACTAAGATCTTCTGTTATACACATCTGATTTTTAACTGGAGTGATCCTTCTTTCCAAATACAAAGTTAAACTAGCTATTTTATCCATAATCTAACATAATTATATATAAGGTCATTGAAATCAGTGGGCAACATATACCTGTGTTCTGGACTGTGGTATCTCTTCTTACTGGTGGCATATGTCACAACAAGCACCCAGAGAGTGTTTTGCACTATGGGGTGGTATATACGTTGAAATAATAAATCAATAAGCTGAACTTGAAGAGTTAAACTATGTTGTTTAGAATCATAGTTTGTCATCTGATCTAACAGGATATTAGTTTTGTGGCTTATTTTCCTCCTGACAAGCCAGATAATTAAATTCATATCAAATCCTGGATTCATTTTCTGCTTGTCTTGAGAGAGTCACAGGATAGCCAGCTCTCACTGGGTTCACATGTCAGGCACCAAAAGGTTATGTTTTGCTTACTCACACCTGCTTATGAACTAAGATTCCCAAAGAACCCTGACATTGGATTGCATGAATGCAGCCATTTTTTTTTCTTTCCCAGGGAACTGGGAATTCCTTCCTCGGCACCTAGGGGGAAAAGCCCATATGAATTTTGCCATTATACCTTGGAAATACCTGAAAAGCTTAAGTAATGACTGCAAGTGTAGCTGGAAACTGAATACTCTACTTTGGGACTTGGGCCAGCCAGCCCAGCTGCCAATGTGCCTCAAAATGAAAAAAGCTGTCTCCTGCTCTTGGTTACTCCTCCCTGTTGAAATGAGAGTTCGTGCTTTCTTGCTTCCAAAGATGAGAGATTAATGAGGAGGGGGCCTCTAAATTTGTTACTAAGATAGATAAATAAAACTTTATTACAGTCAAAAGAGCAGCCACAAATAAAACATCTAATATATATAAATATACAGAAATATACAAAAATATTGGGATCAAATGCAAAGCAATAGTTGGTTCCGAGATAAGTTACTAAGTTTGAAGCTGAGCCCAGTTGAAGACGAAGGACCAACGCAAATGCAGTGCCAATTCTTTTTCCCAAATGGCGGGGTTGCCTTTCCATTTGAATACTCGCCAGATGTTTACAGGGAACATGAAGGAATTTAGGGCATTAGATGGGCATTTGCACCCATTGTTTCGTCTGCTGCAGGGATGGTTTGGTTCACTCCGATGTGCATATTTTTGAGCTCCTTCTTCTAAAGTACTGGTTCAAGAAACTGTGGGCCATTTGTCAATTGGCCCTTCAGACAAACCAAAGAAAATACAGTATGTGTTTGTTCTCTCTTATTTAATGATGCAGCACCTCAGCAATAGTCTACCAGAGTCTTTTCCAAAAAAAATTCACTTCCCCTGCCCCTCCACCAAGAAGCAGTGAAAATGTTCAGTTTGCTGATATCCTGCAGTGGCTCATTTATTAAACCACCTCACAATGTTGGAAGAAGCTGCACCAAATGCAGTTGCTTGAGCACCAATGTGTCATTTGGATGTGAGGATCCCACCAGATGGAATATCACATCTCTGTCTGACCTCAAGTGGCCCAATTTAGCTTACACTGACCCACTCCAAAAGAGCCAGTGTAGATAAGCCCTTAGGTTTCATGAAAGAAAGGTATGTTTCTCACACTATTCTTATTATTCTTATTAAACTCCAGGATTAGAAACAGGATTAGGAGGAGCCATTGTGGTAACCTATTGCAAAGTCCAAGCATGTTTGTGGTGCAAATGTACCACAAGACTATTGATTTCACCTTGGGTAAAACTAAATTAAAAACTCTGTCGATTTTTCCTTTAATTCTGCAGAATTTCCAATGGCTGGTTCTAGTTCTTTCATTTTTGCAAATGGCAGCCCATCAGAAAAACAGAAATTATCTTCTGCACATTGATGCAGTATACTTAGAATTTTCTGACATGTCCACTTCTCCTTGAGTCATGCCTTCAAATCCACTAATCCCCTGAGTATATACTAATACCATTAACCGGGAGTGAAAGGATACCTGTTGGTTAAAAGACTTAAATGAGTCATACAAGTTCTCTGCATTTTTCATCAGTAAAGCTTTATCTGGTGTTCCAGTTGTTTGCTATACTGTATGTGTCATTAATCTTCACATTAAATGGATTTGCTTATCTTGATTTCTACTTCGTGCACTACTGTAACTCTTCCACAATGGCATAAAGTAAAAAAAAGAAGGACAGAGGAACCCTTGTTGACATCCAGCCTTTTTCTCAATTTGAATAATTTGTTGTTTTTGTCCCTTTACATTCATTTAGCAAATCTTCTTCCTCCTTGTGCCACACTTCCCAGTTCCTTTGGACTACAGCTCCCATCATTCTCTGTCAATATGGCCAATGGGTGACATTAAAATAAGCTGCAGTCCAAAATATTTTGGAGTGATTTGCAAAGAGAGCTTCTGATGTCTGTGAGACAAAATCAAGAAAATACATAGCATCATTTCCAGGGCATTGTATGGAAAAAAAGATATTATTGGTATGTTCAAAAACATGATGGGGGAAAGAAAGACACCTCCATAATAAAAGCCTTTGTAAATTTTATTTATTTATTTATTTATTTATTTATTTATTTACTTACTTACTTACTTACTTACTTACTTACTTACTTACTTACTTACTTACTTACTTACTTACTTACTTACTTACTTACTT